ATCATCGTGAGGCAGTCATTTGTGCAGTTTTGTAACGCACGAAAGTGGCACATGCGCAGTTCACGGCACCGCGGTGACACCATTCCTACCTTACGGCATCTATGCTATCCTGTTAACATAAGAGAAAAAAACAAAGGAAAAAAGACTTTATGCACTGCGCGGGCGCGCATTGCGGTGTATTTGTAATATTCTGTTGTTATGCCACCATCCCGCTTCTCTGTTTCAGTAATTGCTCTTACTCAGAAAGTGTTTCGTCGCCTATACTTTGCCCTTTAGATCGGGTTCGTATGAGGCGATCGCGGAAATGAGTTCATTTTCCGAGTCAGGAAGATCATCGGGGTATTGTTCTCGTGGCCTTATACAGGCCCTTCGGCGCTCCCTACCGCCCCCATTGCCTCCACCCTACCGCCGCCTTAGCACGCCACGTCCACGGAAAGTCCCACTGCGTCATCACTCCGCCCTTTGTTAAATATCCGGCGAAGCCCACCGTCTGCTACGTGCTTTTTTCTTTTGTCCCCTCCACAGTATCCCTGTGAAGAAGGGGAATTTATTTTCTATGAATATTTTTTTTTTATAATACGCTGCTGCCTTGCGGCTTAAGCAGCTACAGGCGGGGCTTTTTCTTCCAACTAACTTACAATCTAGACCTAAAGTTATCTTAATTGCACTTTGGCATTTCTAACTTACACTAAAATCATTTTTCTAGTTCTATTTTCTACGTAATTATTATTTTATATAGTTGGTAATTTTTTCTTCTTCTACATTCACACATCATTCATACTAGTCTGCTACGTGCTTGTCTCCGTGTTTCAGCGCGACACGACGCTACATTATAAACTGCTCTGGGATGTGCCACCCACGCCTGATAACACGCCATGACCGCGAGGCGTGTAACATTCGTTGCTGGCCCACGCGGGGTTTGGAAACTTTTATCAACACATGATAATGACTTAGTTTCGTATATTCTGTTGATTGTAACTAGGTCTTTGCGACACATTTTTTTTTAGTTTTGAAGGTTGTGAAAGTTCTTTATCTTCTTATGTAGACTGCCAGCCAGTCAGGTCTACCTATCATGGTCTACCAATAATTCCACTTGAATTTCATTTTTCCTTATAAGTACTTCCAGATATTCTTGGATATGGTATTTTTCACTGTCTGAAGGTCGAATAATGATGTTGCAAAATTACTTCCTGGTACAGCTACTGGTATATCTCGATGAGGAGGAATCCAGAGGTTAACAAGGATTTTACCAAGTCTTTGAATAAGATGGATAAGATGAATAAGAATGAATCAGTGAATTCAGTACTTCGATTTTTGTTGTGGCATAGTTTTATTGTAGAGAGGGATTTTGCGATTATAATTATGTTGGAATACGATGGTTGATGTATCATTTTAAGACTTGTCATTAAAACATGGCATTCAGCAGTCTTAAAGCTACAGTAGTGACGTAATTTAAATTTGTCATTGGGTGTCTGTATCTTCGGTTTCTTTGTCACTTTTATCACTAATATAGAAATATGAAGCATTTTTGTATATATGGATCACTTCTTTTAATTGTACGTTCCTTTCTTCTTTTGTTAAGTTTCTATTATAATAATAAGGAAGTGATAATTCTATTGACAACTTTTCTATATTCCATGGTGATTTTCTATTTGTTCCTTAGCATTAATATTTTTAATAATTCGTTTTTTAAGTTGTTGCGTTTTTCTTCTAAATAAATTCTTTCTAATATTATATATATATTCTGTATTTGAGAGAGAACGTCATTGTATATTATTAGGTTAGTGAACGAGGCGGCTTTAGCAGCATACTTGAGTCTCGGTGGTCTAATGAAGTTTCTTGGACTTCAATAAGTATACTTCCTATATGGCTGGTATGGAGGTATCCAGAATATATACTAAGCTATTCCTTGGGGATTGATTATTGATTATATTTGTCTCAGCTCTTTTTTATTAGCATATTGGTATATAAGCGAATATTAATCAATTTTTGATCGAATGATAGTTTTGTATCTTAGTAGCAGAATATTTTTATTAGCTCCCCAGTTGTTGTTGAAGTGATATTTAATAATTTTAAGTCTGTTCTGGCACTCCGTGGGTACATTATTTGTCTGCGGGTAAATTGTGTGTTAATTTTGAATACTACTTAAGTTCAGGAATTTTCATTTTGTTAACAAAACGAATAGATTACATTCGAAGTTTAAGTTTTAGGGTTACGGTATCAACCATCTTCGAAAAAATAAGTATTCTATTTCTTGGTAAAAAAAAATTAAATTCTGCGCTCATAGACCATTGAAATTTCGTATTTAGCGCTTTTTGCATGATCATTTGAATACATGAAAGAGATTTGCAGAGTAGAGTTCTCTGTCTTCTGTGTATTTTCTGAAGATATCAGAAGGTTATACCCCCTTGTAAGATAATTTCTTTATTTAATGAATAGCCTTAAAACTACTTCTTAATACTGGTATTATAATAACCTAACATGAAACGGTAGCGTTGTGGATTTCTTTTTCTATTAAAGGAGTACAAAATGTATAATACTGAGTGGCCAATACTGAGTCCAGTTTATGACCACTAACAAAATTTTGCAATTTTCAAGTGGCCAATGCTGGAACTACGACAGTTTGAAAAAATTAATAAAAAATATAACTAAATAAAAATTTGCCATTGTTGTATGCCATTTATGTTAAGGTATAAGTTAATAGCTCATTAGGTTTTACATAGCTTATTTAAAACTGCCACCCATAATTTTGAAAACAAACCCTCTAGAAATATGTTCTAACTGCTTGTGATTTTACTTTGAATAAATTATCAAAAATATTAAAATGTATAACTGCTTCATGAATGTAGGTCATTCGTAAATACGAAAATAGTGAGCTTCACACCGGACAAGGGTTATAATTCGACTCTGTCAGGTGAATTGAGCTCCAGAAAGCTGACGGGTTGTACGGTACGTCTAAAATACAATAAAATATAATTAAGAGTACTGTTCCCGCTTACACTGATACACGTATGGAAACAATTGTACTGAAATGACTACTTTATTTCAATCTTGTTAATATGTATTTTATATTTTAATTTTGCTATTTCATTAAAATCGTTTTTATCTTAATTTTTATTTTCTATTAAAAATTATATTGAATTTCATGTAAGACAAGTTTTTCTAGGTGCAGTTAAAGTTGAAGAAGACACGGGAAACGAACCTCGTGGCAGCTATTTTTGGGGACGCGAGGTAAGGGATTAGAAAAAGGAAATCGCCTCGACATAGGAGGGAGAGGAGGGTTTTCCCTAAAAGCCAGCACCCGGCAAAGGGAGACACGGGGCTTTGGGGTCCTCGGGTCTGAAGGAGCAAACGCCCAAACCTCATAGCGAGGAGAAGGGCGTTAAGGAGCGGCGTGACGTAGTAGGTCACGTGAGCCTCGAGTATGCGAGTATAAGGGAGTGGGTGGGTTCTGGAGACAGTGGGAGAACCTCGTGCGAATGCACACATTTGGCGCCACGATGGTCCAGCGGCGAGCAGGGCTCGCGAGGCAAGTCACGTGTTGACGAGCCCGTGGAGGACTTTGTGTCCGTGAGTGACTGCGGTCACGTGGGAGCGATGCTGTGTGCGTGCTCCGAGGTTAGGAGCGGTTGAGTGCCACGACTCGCCACCGATACTCAATCGGGTAAATTCGCTCCTGCGATGGAGTCAAACCATGTTGGTACGTCGGTACGAACTTTGTTCGCTACCGCGATCATGGAATAGTAGGTCTATCAGAGCTAGGGTGTAAAGTGTAAATTCATTGTAAATATTTGTTGTGTTTTCCTTGTAAATAAATATTTGTAATTTGAAAACTTTGTGTATGTGTTCGCTATGAGAAGTCATGGCGTCACAATATCTACTCCTACCACTACTGTTGGGTACACTGCAAACTTTGAAGTAGGCACTCGCGCACTAGTCGGCACACGCTGTATATTAAAGAGCACAAGGCAGCAGAACGCTTCAGCCAGCAGCGAGCTGCGGAAACGCGTCTGGGACAGCCTGGGCCACAGGTATACAACGGGCGGCCCGGCACCCTTGAGTTGGTACAGGACAAAGTTCTACGGCTCAAAGCACGCCCTTCGTTTCGGAAACGGTTGAAAGTACTGAGGATGCAACTTGATATCGAGCCCACTCAATGCTTGAGACGGTTTTCGCTTAATGAACCTTATCAAGCCTTTCAAACCAACGAAGCTCCGGCTACGCTAAAACAATTAGCTCGACACGTCCTCACAACGGGGCAAAGTAGACAAGCCACCCCTTTGATATTCTAAGGGCGTAATGCAACACAAAAGCCGATTTGGCTATTGACTAAGGTCCGACGCGAACCCACACCAGCCACTTACACATAGCAATAAAACGCGAAATGCGTGCGAACTGCAACACAACCACACTAATATTTGGCTAAGTCCCCCACCCAACAAAAAAGATCAAGCTGAAGAGTACGAGGCCCAGCTACGACTACGTGTGTTTATGATAGTGCCTGTTAAGCTGACCGCGGCGAAGTTCTGTGTTGATTCGTGGATATACTGTGAGTTGGCTACGATAGGTACGTTTTCTGGCGGCAGGAAACTCGGCAACGAACTAGGTACATTCTTACGGCAAGTGGAATTTTGGCATTTCTTTTTGTATTCTCGAGCAGAGATTAGTTTGTAAGTTGTAAAACTGAGTAAACTATTTTGTGTTTATGAATCTCTGCTTCCACCTCATTTCGTACATTTCAACTCCCACTACTACCACCATCCTACTCTTACCTCCTCCATCATTATAGCTATTTCTAACTCCGTTACCACCACCACCATTGACAGAATCCCAACTACCATCATAGTTACAATCACTACGAATACCCTCCCAAAATCACCCCCACTTCCGCGTTTTTACAACCACTACCACTATTCATTTACTGTCGACGACCAACTTGAGGTAGCTTAATAATGTGTTCACTCATGGAAGTGATAAAATAACAACAGAAGGTCATACGACGGAATGTTCATACTTTTATTTGACCACAATCACAGTGGTAGTACTTTTGATTATATTGCTTACTGGAATGTTAATGGCTGTGTCTAAAGTTTGTTCTGTAGTTGACCTCATAATAATTCCATTTTCTGCGAACAAAAAAGAGATTTATTGAAATTTCATATTAATATTTTAATACAGCTTAGTATATATATATATATAATATATATATATATATATATATATATAATGGTATTTTTATAAGTACGTTAAAGAACTTTGTAGGCATTATATCTAATGCCTTCAACGTTCTCTCTCTCTCTCTTTCTTCTCTCTCTCTCTCTTCCTCCTCTCTCTCCTCTCTCTCTCTCTCTGATCTACTTATATATATATATATATATTATATATATATATATATATATATATCAAGTATGAAGATGTTTTAGAACTTTTTTTGATAATACTCTCTAAAACTCATGCAATTTCATACTTTTCATAATGAATTTAATAGAATAAAATTGAATGTCATAAAGACAATTTTCAGTGTTATTTCATCATTCTAAAACGATTTATAAACTTTCAGTCCAATTGGAAGACGGTCGGGAAATTTTGGCTGATTTGACATGGAATGACCCATAAAAGTAGTATGCGCTCTTAGAGAACAATACATCAATAGTTTTCTATTGAAAGCGATTTGTAAAATTAAATGTCTTTGGAAATTCAAGATTGGTTTTTACCTGAACGTGAGCTGGAGACGCAATGGCATACAGAACGCTGTCCGCTATGTCTTCAGGGTTAAGATGTGGAGAGTTCCAGAGCAACTTCTGATTTATGTCGAGAGGATCAAAAATACTGGTGTGCACCAAGCCCGGGCTCACCTCCTGAAACAAAAGCATAAAAATAGAAGTTATATCAATTGAATAGGTAATATTAGATGCATGTGATTTTAATACTATTCTAAAAATATACACAAATATGTACATAGACAGAAAAAAATTGATTTCTACAATTGTAAAACCCGATAATTTGTACATTCCAAGGTCAAAATGTTACCGGTTGCTACTAGAGTGCAGGCCTATAATAAACAGATCTGTAATAAACTCTAAAATAAATACTCAGAATTCTTGCAGTCATTTTCAAATTGTATTCTGAGTCAAGGTGATTTAAAGGTGGGAAAATGTTAAAAATGTTTTTGTAACTACAGCCCAGCATTAAAGAATCAGAAAACCATTCACAAGTACTTGTGTTTTGAGAGCAACTCTTAGAATTTTTTGAAGCCTGATCCAGGATTCTAAGACCCAGCAAAATTATGTTTTGATATTTTATTAAGTTTTTTTTGCTTTTGAATTCAGTGCTTAAAAATATCTACAATGTTTTTTGAATAGTACAAATTATTTTCTTATATTTTCATTTGTTAAGATGATAAAATATTGTTAAGTTACAAAAAAGTAAAATTAAAACAACATGGTTTTGGCTGTAGGTGGGAGTGTGGTGGGTTGGAGGCTAAGAAAACTTTAAAACCTTATTTTTATGTTCGAGTTATACTGTAACTACTAATATCTCTTTTCATCTCATTTTTTTATATCTTAAGAGGCGGTACTCTTTTATTTCAAGCAAAAATAATAATATTCATTATTGTACTTGTACGATAGTGTAAAATAATTTCAAACTTTTGAAGTTTTCAATTCAGCCCAATTGATCGGACGATTCTCTTTTTGGAAAATTTCATACGAACAGTTCACATTCTAATGTTGTTCACAAAATGACAGATAGAGGAACACACAGACAGAGATACAGATAGTCAAGGCCCCCCTTTTTGAAACAACCAAACACTTTTCGGAGGCGAATTTTCGGCAGCTTCTAATTAGAGCATTAACTCTAATTACAGGGCCCGGGTAAAAAAAGTGGATAAATTCTGTTGATACATTTAGAAAAAAATCCTCTAACATGTAGTGTAGCCAGAATCCGTTTTGTGGGTCCCTGATACAGAAAAATCGAATGTTGATTGAATTTGCCTTATTTTACGTGGTGAGACTCGGGCCATCAGGTCCGCTTTTCCGTCTGACCACGCAAATTTCGCTACGCCCCTTTCATCTAGCAGTGAAAGAACGTATTTCTTGAGCGAGAAACAGGCGATTTTAAATTGAGCTTAGAGGCGTCATGTAGGCTTGACGGTCTTTTACATGCAAGTAAATCTACGAACATAGGACAGCCGGCTTTACTTCCCTTCCGAAGGAAGGATATTTTCGCCCTTAAAAATCCAAGGTTTCGATCGGGTTTGAACCCGCCAACTTGGGCACAACAGTCCAGTACGCTACACCCAGTACGCTACAGTCCAGTACGCTACCGTTACACCATCGCCGCCGCAAAATCGTCCGTCCGTCCATTCCCCTCTAAACAACTCTAGCGATTAAACGTTTCAGCCAATCTTCTCCAAAATTGATATTCTCTGATCGATCTGGCTGATGTCATGGTCCATTGAATTTGTAACCGATGTTTTAATTTTGGAGGGTACTTTACATGAACGCCATGTGACATTTTTGTTTCAAAAACTGGCTCCATCGTTTTTTAATAAATTTTGTTGTTGGATAGCGTGAAAGACGTTTAAGTTAAAGATGCAGATATAATTTCTGTTAAAAACTGTTTTTTCGAAAATTTCAAAAAATCAAAAAATAATTAATTTTAATATAACTACAATTATGAAGATAAAGATTTTTCCATTGATGAAATCTGTTTCTTGAAGATAGATTCTGAAATACGGTCATGTACAATTTTTCGAAAATTGGAGTATTTTTCGCGTAATTTTGCGCGAGAATGTGGACGAGAAAGTATGTGCTGTTTAAGCACCAATAGTTTTCTATACTAATTATACGCAATCTGCAATAGTGACCCACGTCAAATAATCGGGTGTTTAGATAAATGAGTTCAAGGTTTCAACTTATAATAAAATGTGGGTGATCTGGGCTGTCCGGGTGACGCCGCGTCGAAGGTTGAGTTGCCGACGTTTCGACCATCCTGTGGTGGTCTTCCTCAGGGCTGGTTAGCATGAACCCTTTTAAGATGTTATAGAAAACAACTCCAAGTTCTAATTGCATTACTGCACATTTTAAGGCCAGAGTTTGAACTATCTCCAAATTCGTATACCAGACTCATACGGCACTCCAAGTAGGCAAGGGTTAAATCGAAACTCTTATTTTTTGGGCTGGGCCAGTACCCACGAGCAATATAACGATACGTGCGCATGTGTCCTTACTGATACTCGAATGCGTGACTTGGCGACCACCAGCTCCTGCCGCAGCCCCTCCGTCAGCACGCGCACGGCGTGCTTGGAGGCGTAGTACATGCCCCACCCCAGCGCCTCGGGCGGGGGCGCAAGATGCCCGGCCAAGCTGCAACAGGCTCCGAGTAAAATATTTTCTGCTGCATAATGCTTATCTGTTGCTATACAATTATAGTGAAATAATTATATGACTCGTCATTGCTAACACTATTGTTTGTTACAATAGCAGCTTTCGATGGCATAGTCATCAGTTTTCTGCTGTATGGAAGCCACAAAACGACTAGAGAGAGAAGAGGACAAAAAAATCCCCAAAAAAATCCATAATTTTTTTTTTTTTTTTAATAAAATAATGCCCCTCAAAAAAAAGAAAGGGCAAAGTCCACTTTTCTTTTTTCCTAATATGTGGGATTGGGAATTTTTTTTTGTTTTTTTTTTTTATGTTTTTTCAGAAACA